CTTTTCTTTTCTTTTCTTTTCTTTTCTTTTCTTTTCTTTTCTTCTCTTCTTTTCTTTTTCTTTTTTTTTACTTTTAAGGAGCTTTTATTCTATCAGGGAGATAACATGTATACATTTTTGTTGCTGAGTCATTTTTTCAGTCATGTGCAACACTGAGGGTTTTCCCCTCCCAGTTTGATTTTTTTTTTTACTAAAGGAGCCATCCCTTGACTCTTTTTTTTTGTGAAATTTTTTTTTTAATTGTTGTTTTTAAAACTTTGGGTTCCAAATTCTCTCCCTTCCTCCCTCCCCACCCACTCTCATTGAGAAGGAAAGTGACTAGGTTATACATGTGTAGTCATGTAAAACATTTCCATAGTAGTCATGTTGTGAAAAACTAAGTATATTTCCCTTAATCCTATCCCACCCCCCATTTATTCTGTTCTCCTTTTTGACCCTGTCCCTCCTTAGAAGTGTTTGCTTCTGAATGTCTCCTCCCCCAATCTGCCCTCCCCTCTATCATCCTCCTGCTCTGTTGTCCCCTTCCCCTCCTATTTTCCTGTAGGGTAAGATAAATTTCCATACCCAATTGAGTGTGTCTGTTATTCTCTCCTTAAGCCAAATCCCTGAGAATAAGATTCACTCATTCCCTCTCACCTTCCCTCCTTTCCTTTCCACTGTAAAAGCCTTTTTTGGGGGGCAGCTAGGTGGCGCAGTAGATACAGCACCGGCCCTGAAGGCAGGAGGACCTGAGTTCAAATGTGACCTCAGACGAAACACTTGACACTTACTATCTGTGTGACCCTGGGCAAGTCACTTAACCCCAATTGCCTGAAAAAAAAAAGCCTTTTCTTGTGTTTTATGTGAGATAATTTACCCCATTCTACCTCTCCCTTTCTCCTTCTTCCAGTATAATCCTTTCTCACCTTAATTTTATTCTCCAGATACCACCCCTTCATCTTCAACTCACCCTGTGCAATAGTGACAGTTTTCAAAGAAGAAATGTAAACTTTTAACAACCATATAAAAAGACTTCAAATTACTAATGTTAAGAAAAATTGAACTGAAAACGACCCTGGGATTTCACCTCACATCCACTCAATTGAAAAAGATCATAGAAGATAAAAATAGTGTTGGAGTAACTAAGAAGGCAGGCATACTGATATATTGATGAAAATGAATTGGTCTAGCAGCCCTTCTGGAAAAATAAATTGGAATTATGGGAGAAAAGGTACTAGCCTTTGGTCCAGCAGTTTCACCACTAAGTTTATTCCCCAAGGATGTCAATAGCAAAAAAGAAAAGGTCTGAAATCTATTAAAATAAAATATTACTTTTTTATAGTAGTGAAAACTGGAAAACAATGGATACCTATTGATTGGAGAATACTTATACAAATTATGGTGTGGGAATGCAATGGAATATTATTGTACTATAAGGAATAGTGAATATGAGGACTTCAAGGAAACAAGGAACAATTTGGGTAAACTGCTATAGAATGAAAAAAAATGCAGACTTAGGGTGAACCCTATAAACAATGGCTTCAGTAATGTAATTTGAGACAACGCTAAGAGACAACAGAATGCAAATCAAATGCCATGGCCAAAGTTGTTTCCAGGGGCTTGGTCTTGAGCACAGTCCTCTTCTCTTTGGCAGAGAGCCGACACGTTGCTTCATGCTCTGTCAGTTCTGATTGTTCTGTTGGATGACTTTTTAAAACTTTTTTTGTAAGAGTAGTTTTACTATGTTATAAAAACAAAATGTATCAATAGAACTTTTTATGAAAAAAATGAAGCTTTATTCTTAGAGGGGTTGCAGGAAGCTACTTAGATTAATACACTGCTGCTGGAGCTATAAATTGGTCCAGATATCTATATCCTTTAACTTAGTAATTCCACTGCTATGCATAAACCCCAAGGTTGTCAAAGACAGAAGAAAGCCCCTATATACACCAAAATATTTATTGCAGCTCTCTTTTTTTGTGGTTGGAAAGAACTGCAAACTGTAGGTGTTTATCAGTTGGGGAATGATTAGACAAATTATGGCATATGAATGTGATGGGTTGTTACTCAGTCATGTGTGACTCTGTGGACCTTGTCCATGGGATTTTCTTGGCAATGATACTTAAGTAGTTTGCCATTTCCTTCTGCAGTGTGTCTCTATTTTATAGATGAGGTACTGAGGCAAACAGGAGTTAGATGACTTGCCAGGATCACACAGCTAGTAAGTGTCTGAGACCAAACTTGAATCCATGTCTTCCTGACTCCAGGCCCAGTGCTCTATCCACTGCACCATAAAAATTATGAACATGAAGACTTCAGAGAAACATAGAAACATGAACTGATGCAGAATAAAGTAAGCAGAACCAGGGAGATACTAGGTACTAATGACTCTAGTATGAATGGAAAGAAAAAAGAAAACCTGAACTGAACACTGTGTAATTGTATTTGACCAAACTTGACCTTGTTGAAGAGTAGGGGAAATGAACTGCCTCTGTGGTATAGTGGAAAGAAGGCCATATTTGGAGTGAGGGGACCTGGGTTCAAATTCTGACTCTGCTATTTACTATACAGTTGACCTTGGTAACCTCTTTGGGTCTCACTTTCCTCATCTGCAAAATGAGAGGCTAGGGTAGATGATCTCTAACATCCCTTTTAGCTTTTAATCTGTAATCTGTGATCTTCCTTTATTGTGGAGTTGGGAGACTGTGAGTGTGGAATATGTCATATACTGGAGAATGTTGTTGATCTTGAAGAATTCTTCTTTTATCTTTTTCTATCTTTGTTACAAGAGAAAGCTTTCCAGGGAATGGGATGGGGAATATACTTGGAAGTGAATGTGACATAAAAATCAAATGGCATTAGCAAAAAAGCAAACAACAACAAAAAAACTATTAATGGGGACAGCTAGGTGGCTCAGTGGAGAGAGCTCTGGCCTTCGAGTCAGGAGGATCTGAGTTCAAATGCAGCCTCAAGACACTTGACACTTACTAGCTGTGTGACCCTGGGCAAGTCACAACCCTTGATCGCCTTGCAAAAAACCAAAACCAAAACCAAAACCTACTAATTTAAAAAGAACTTTTAAAAATGAAGCTGGATGTTATTGCCAAGGTTTTTTTTTTTCCCTCTGAAATAAGCACTAATGAGTGACTGAATTAGAAACTGTGGCCACCTGGGTACTTTTTGTACTGTCCCTGCCTATTAGCCTTTCAATTATTACCTTGAAAATGAATCATATTATTCTTTTGCATGCTTTCTGGAAATTCAGAATTAATGGGAAAAATTCTGTTATAATAAATAGAAATAGAGCATATTAAATAAAGCTGAAATGGGCAAGTCATTTTCCCTCCCTAAGCTTCAATTTCCTTATTTGTAAGATTGTGGGGCAGAGGAGAAGTGAAGGTTGACATAGATGATCCTTAAGTCTTTTCTCCCCACTAACATTAGATAATTCTGAATTTTTCTAAATATGATTTAAAAATCAATGTCTTTTGCTTTTTACCCCAAGCCAGAATTAGCCTCCAATATGCTGATAAGCCAGAGTGGCAGCTGCATGGAGACATCTACAGTAGCTGCCAAGTCTCCATGGACACCATTTACTAGTTAGTGCCTTCTTCTCACTCAGGGCCAGCTCTGCTGAGGATAATGAGCTCTTTCCTAGCTTTTTCTTCCTGCAGTTTCCTTTATTTTAGACCAGTAGCCTCTGGCAGGGCAGACATGGTTGTATCTGCCCTGCCAGAGGCTATAAATGTGGACCTCCTCCTCTAGATGCTTTACCTTTGATTGCTTAAGAGTTTGTTGGATTGGAAGCGTGTGCTCCCCACTGGGAAGGTGTTTCTGTGTTGGTTGCAGTGGTTAGACCTAAATGAAAAAGGCACAGTTGTTCTTTGTGGGATCTGTCAAAGACCAGGAGTGATGTCAGAGATCGTAAAGTAAAGCTTTAATTGAAAGGAAATGGACTGGGCCTATTTAGAGGGCTGTGCTTATACACTATTATCTCTGTGCAAGACAGTTCACATTCTCATCACAGACTATGCTATGCCATTTACAAGGTGCACACTTGCATTGTCCTGTATTATTAACATGTTTGAACACAGCATTCCATAGAAGTGGCAGTTGCTATTGGAGGGTGGAATAAGGTTCCTGGCATAATTTGGTTACAATGTTCCCCAAATGGTGGTTCTGAGCAGTATTAGAGTACTGTCTTATGATTTATGATTTTATTGATTGATTGATATCCTGCTATCTAGGTTTATTTGGTTAGGTTTTTTTGGTCACTAGACCTGTGATTTCTTTGGCATAGAGAGATTCTGGTAAGGAACTTCCTCTATCAGTGCAGATTGGCATTGTCTTTGCAACTTTGAGTTTTACCAAGTTGCCCTAGGCCTTGAGAGGTTAAGTGACTTGCTTAGTCACATAGCCAGGATGTGTCAAAGGTTGGACTTGAACATAAATCTTCCTAATTTTCAGTTTTCTATTCACTATAGTATGCTGCCCATTGTAGACTTTTGGTAATAAATAAAGTGTCTGTTATTGCCCAGAAAAATTCATCCTTTAATTTATTATCTGTTTTGTTGTTGACATAGGTTTCTATCCACAGTCATTGTAATTATTTTACTTATACAACTTTCTAGAACAACAAAGAATCTGGAGATACTAGGATAGCCATCTTCAAATATGTGAAGGACTGTATCAAGTGGAAGAGGGGAGTGCATTTTTGCTCTGTACTGACAGAAGGTCACAACAGAACCAGGGAGTAAAAATTACAGGGAGGCTGGTTTTGGCTAAACATATAAGGAAGAATTTTCTAACCGTGCTGCCCTGCAGTCAGACAGGGTGCTATGTTATTATTAGCCAGGGTGTTGTATTAACCAGTCTGCTTCCTGGTAGTATTCGATGGATGTTATAAAAGGGATTCCTATGTATGTGGGTTAAAAGTTGGGCCACATGACTGTAATAGGTACCTCCCTACTCTAAGAATCTGTGTTTTATCATTATAAAAAAGTTCTGCTTTTCTTCTTCAGGTTGATGCCCGAAGTGACCGAACTGGAGAGGTCATCTTTAAAGACAACTTTTCTTCAGCAATTGCTGGTGTGGTGGAGGGAGATTACAGGATGGATGGCCATGTGCAGCTAATCTGCTGTTCAGTGGATGGGGAAGGTATGTTGGGAAGTCTAGAGAGAGGTAGTATGCTTAGTGAATAGAGACAGCCTTGGAGTTAGGAATCCTGACCTGGGTTCAAGTCTGGACTCTGACATTTCCTGGGTGTGTGACCTTGGCATGTTGCCTTAGTTGCAGAGTAGGCACCGGCCTTTCTTTGTAGAGAGAATTCCTCACTGGGAGCCCCCTTCACTGATGAAATCGCAGGTCCGGTTTAAAAATAATTAAAAAAAAAATCTGTGAATTTTTTTGGGAAAAATAGTAGAAAATATTTCCCCAAAGCATTGTTACTCAGATCTTCTCTCACTTAGTAAACACACTGTTCAGTCCAGGAGGCTGGACATTAGCTTCATGTTTTAGAAATGGACATACTGTAACCCAGTCATGTTTCCCCCTCCTCTATAGTGCGGGGTTATCTCCCTGGTGGTGCAGAAATGAAGGGAAACTTGATGGATACAAGTGTGGAACAGGATTTGATCCGGGAGCTTAGTCAGAAGAAACAGAACCTGCTGTTAGAACTGCGCAACTATGAGGAAAATTCCAAGGTATTTCTCAAAACAAAGCTGGGGCCATGCCAGAACAACTCAGGTTGGTCAGTGCAGAGGGCAACAGCAGACCACCAGAAGAGACTTGCTTTAGATTGATAACTATATGGTGGTGACAGCTGGAATTTTTTTTTCTAAATTCTGTTTGTAATTTATTTTGATAGAATTCACAAAATCACAGAATATCAGAGATTGGGAGGAACCTAGAAAGTTGTCTAGTCCGCCCTCCTTCTATAGGTAAGGAAGATGAGGGCCAGAGAGCAAGTGATCCACCTGGGGTGACCCAGCTTGGAAGTAGCAGAGCCAGTGACCAGAGCTGGGGTCTTCTGACTCCAGTTCACTGTTCCTTCTAGTCTACCATCCATTCATTCAAAACCCGTTCATTGCATGATGCAGAGCCTTGTGCTGGGGAGGTGTGAAGAGAATTCAAGATAGTGATCCTTGCCCTCACAGTACTTAAAGTGAGCAGGCTGATGGGGATTTGGGGTAGGATGGGAGTTAAAATTGCGCGCACAGAAATATGCCATAATGTCTATGATGCAGAATGGAATGTAAGAACATAAGAGAATGTAAGAACACTACTTTGTGTTTTGTAGCATGAGATAAGAAATCATTTTCAGCTGATTACTGAATAGGAGAAGGAGAGAGAATAGGCATTCATGTAGCACCTACTATGTGCCTGTGCGAAGGGCTTTACAATTATTATCTCATTTGATCTTCACAACGACCCTGGGAGGGGATGCTGTTATTATCCCCATTTTACAGTTGAGGAAACTGAAGCAGACAGAGATTAAGTGACTTTCCCAGGGTCACACAGCCGTTAAGTGTCTGTGGCTGGATTTTAACTCAGGTCTTCCTGACCCCAGGCTCATCACGCTGTCCACTGCACCATCCAGCTGACAGGAAATCTTTGCTTAGAGGTTGAATTGCCATTTTATTTGGAAAGTTGACCAAGTTAGAACTGAATGGTGTCTTTATGCAGGCTGAATCAAGCAGCCCAGTGAATGAGTCTGATGGGCAGCGGGGAATTATCCCAGCCAACACCAAGCTGCAGACAGCCCTTTCAGTGAACCTGGGCTCTGACAGCCAAGCTGCTCATGTGGAATTACGGATCTCAACTTCAAATGGTAGGAAATGATTTACAGCTGCTCATTGTTGGAGACTGTAATCCTTTTGGTGTCGTTACTGAGCTATTGTTTTCGCTCCTTCCTGTAGACACCATAATCCGAGCAGTGCTTATATTTGCTGAAGGGATTTTTACAGGTGAAAGCCATGTGGTGCATCCCAGCATTCAGAATCTTTCCAGCTGCATCCGAATTCCTATCACTCCACCAAAGGATGTCCCTGTGGATCTGCACATGAAGACTTTTGTGGGCTACAGAAACAGGTGATTCAGTTGTATACTTTCTAAAACATTTCAGGATGTCCTGTTTCTGGAAGAAGAAACATACATGATAATATATTTACTAGACTAATTCTGGATATGTTGTTTCTTAGTTGTTTTACTTTGGACAGGTCACCTACCTCTCTGAACCTTAGTTTCATCATCTCTAAAATAATACTTATTGTGCCTCAGAGGGTTGCTAGAAGGATCAATGAAATGATGGATATACCAACACTTTAAAAATGACAGAGTGCTAGACAAAGTCAAATCAATTCAACAGTTATCTACTTGAATACCTACTGTATTCAGGGTTCTATGCCGAGCACTTACAAATGTAAAGTGGCATTATTACACAATGTCTAACACATTGTAGACCTTCAGTAAATGGTTGTTGAAGAGAAGTGTGCAAGCCATGGAGTAAACAGCCATTTCATGAATTTTCTCACCCAGCTAAGGCTAAAAGGCCTTGTGCCTATTATTTTTTTCTAGAAAAATTATGTAAGTTTTCTAGAAAATATTAAGAGAAGATCTGGATTATTTTCTGTTCTGAGATCTGGTGTTGGTTAGAATTTTAAGATATGCTTGTTATGTGTCCCATTAACTTCTAGTTTAGGTTTTTGTGACTCTGTCAGGATTAGGAAGACTACTTTGTATTAAGGTTATTTGTTACTGGGCTACTGTTCCCAAAATTCTTAGATTTCAATTCCCTAATCCAGGGGTGGGCAACCTGTAGCCTGAAGGCCATATGTGGCCTTCTAGGTCCTTGGGTGCAGCCTTTTGACTGAGTCCAAGTTTTACAGAACAAATCCTTTTATTTAAGAGGATTTGTTCTGTGAAGTTTGGATTCAGGCGAAAGACTGGACTTGAGGACCTAGAGGGCCACATGTGGTCTCGAGGCCGCAGGTTCCCCATTCCTGCCCTAACCAATGGCCGGTAAAGACTTTCTATTTCACCTTTCAAGATTATATTTAGAAGACTGTGTTGTTTCTGTGAATTGAAGACACCTGCTAACATACATGGTATTTACATACTCAGATTTACTTAAGTTGTCACCTAGTAGCATCATGTTGGCCTAGTGCTTTGATATTCATTTTATAAGACATGGACCAAATGATGTTATGACTTAAAAGTGTTAACATTCAAGTTTAACATAATCTTTTCACTTCCTTTGATCCTTTATACAGCACTCAGTTTCATGTATTTGAATTAACACGACAGCTCCCCCGATTTGCCATGTATGCGTTGAGCAACCCTGATCCCACCAAAGAGCCCCTCAGTTTTGTTAACTTTACCGTCAATGAACGGGTACAAAGGGTAAGCTTTCTTTTGTACATTTTATTTGTATTTAGTTTGTAGTTTAGTGTTTGTACCCCCCAGAAATATTAATTTCTTTCAAAATACCCCAAAGAAAGGGAAATTATTTGAGTGGGTACATTAATAGCAGTAACAATCTGATAGGGGAGAGTTATGTAGCTCTTGAGATTGTCCCATTTAAATTAAATAGTTATAGTGAAAGCATTACTGAGATGTCTCTGTAACTGAAAGAAAAACTATGCCATTTTCCCAAATACATGCTGCAAAAATTCTTTTTTAAAAAATATTTTTTCCAGTTACATGCAAAAATTTTTAACGTTCTTTTTTTAAAATTTTGAGTTCCAAAATTTTTCTCCTTCCCTCTGTCCCATCTCCCCTCATTGAGAAAGCAAACAATTTGATGTGGTTTATACATGTGCAGTCATGCAAAACATATTTCTATATTAGTCATAATTTAAAAGAAAACAGACAAAAAACTAATAAGAAAAACAAAGAGAGTAAAAATAGTATGCTTCAATCTGCATTCACATTCCATCAGTTCTTCCTGTGAAGTTCTTTTCATCATGAATCCTTTGGATTTGTCTTGGATCATTGTATTGCTGAGAATTAGCTAAGTCATTCACCGTTGATCATTGTATAATACTGCTGTTATTGTGTACAATGTTCTCCTGATTCTCCTGCAATGATTCTTACTGTAACGTTTTTACTTTCCTTGTCTTACTGTTTGGTAATACTAAATGCTAAACCAGCTATTACACTTGGCACTAATTTTTCTATATATCTTTGATTCTTTAGTACCCAAGATTGATGCTTTTAAAAATTACACACTTCTGTCCTACTTTTCTTAGAGGGTGGGAGAATCAGTTCTCAGGTAGAGCACACTGTTGGGATACACATTAAGGAGATTCCTAGTTGTTATAGCCCAACTCTACTTTGAGGTCAGGAATAAAATAGAGGAAACTTGGATCTGTCTTGGTATTTTATTGAGCTTCCCTATCTCCAGCTAGAAGCCATGGGGAACAACTTTGTTGTATATGTGTAACTAGAATCCAATTCCCCTCTGGATGTATGGCTTATATTCATTAAACTACCTCCTTTTTCCTGATCTAGAGTTAGTTACTCCATTCCACCCTGAATGTCTTTTCTTCCTGTCCAGATCTGCTGGAGTCTTTGTGTATATGTCAGTAGGTCTGATAATGCCCTTCTATGTCTGGCTGATGAGTGTCCTTCTGTTTATATCTTGCACTAGATCCATTGTTAAGAAAACCACTGAGGCTTGTATCTCATATCTGGGGGAGGTGGGAGGCTCACAGCTTAATGAGGATAATTAAAGGATAAGACTAAAGCATAAATAAATGAATAAACTATATTTTAGGTTATGACCAATAAAATAGTAAGAATTGAATCATGAATGTTGGCAAGAGCCAGGGTGGAATTATCAGTGTTGCAAATATAGAAAGAATGGGAATAGTGTCGGGCTATAGAGTTTGTGACTTGTTAATTTCATTCTGCATTTTGTTACTGGGGTTTGTTTTACAATGTGTTCTACAGTACGTGTATTTTCTCTTAAGGAAATCATAAACATAAAAATAAGTATACTTATCCTTTACTTTCTGGATTTTTATTTTAACAGACAACCATTATTTATAACCATTTTTCATTTATACCCATTTGTCATATGGACCACTTTTCACTGTTATGGGCAAATTCCTCTATATTAGCAGGGTAGCACAGTTTTTAGCTTCCTTGAAAGGGATGGCATGTTCTTGTGCCTCCACCAAGTAGAAGCACCTCCTGCCTTAGGTCCCCATCTCTTTGGTGGCCCTCTTTTGGGATTCTTTTCCCCTCAACTCTCATTGGGGTGCCAGTCAGACTCTGGCAAATGAAGAATTCCCTTTTCTAGTACTAATGGAGTGTTCTCTGCTCTGTATTGTCTCTGATCCCCTCTATACACATACACACACACACAGACACAGTTTCTTTTCTTTTTTTTTTTTAGGCAGTTGGGGTTAAGTGACTTGCCCAGGGTCACACAGCTAGTAAGTGTCAAGTGTTTTGGTCTGAGACCGGATTTGAACTCAGGTCCTCCTGACTCCAGGGCTCGTGATCTATCCATTGCGCCACCTAGCTACCCCCTAGAGTTTTATTTTAAGGACAGTTTCACAGACTAGATTTTGTTAGTTTATTGAAGGATAGGTATGTGGGTTTCTTGCTCAAGAATGGCTATGTGTTTCTTTTATTTTTCAAGGGCATGATTTTTAAAATTTATTTTTAACATTCATTGTAAAAAATTTTAAGTTCCAAATTCTCTGCCTTCCTTCAGCCTCTCCACCACACATTGAAAAGGTGAACAATATGATATCAATTAGACATGTGAAGTCATTCAAAATATATTTACATATTAGCCATGTTGAAAAAAAGATAAAGTAAAAAAATATGCTTTTTTTACTCAGAGTTCATTGGTTCTATCTCTGGAGATGGATAGCATTTTTAATCATAGTTCCTTTGAATTGTCTTGGATCATTGTATTAAGCAGAGCAGCTAAGTGTTTCACAGCTGATCATTCTTATAGTTATTGCTGTTACTGTGTACAGTGTTCTCCTGGTTCTGCTAACTTCACTTTGTATCAGTTCATGTAAGTCTTGCCAGGTTTTTCTGAAACCATCTTGCCTGATGTTTCTAATGGCACAGTAGTATTCTGTCACAATCATATACCACAACTTGTTTAGCCATTCCCCAATTGATCAATCACTTGATTTCCAATTCTTTGCCACCACAAAAAGAGCTGCTATAAATATTTTTGTATACATAGGTCCTTTTCCTTTTTTTTTTTGATCTCTTTGGGATGCAGACCTAGTAGTGATATTGGTGGGTTAAAGGATATGCACAGTTTTATAGCCCTTTGGGCATAATTCCAAATTGTTCTCCAGAATGGTTGGACAGTTCACAACTCCATTTATAGTGTATTTGTGTCCCTATTTTTCTACGTCCCCTCCAGCATTTGTCATTTTCCTTTTCTGTCATGTTAAGAATGACTATTTATTTCTAACCCTTCCTAAAACAGATATTTCATTTTATTACATGTTTTTAAGGTTGTCATGTGGCTGAACCAGAACTTCCTATTACCCGAAGATAGTGAGATCCAAAATGCTCCGTTTCAAGTCTGTTTCACATCCCTACGAAATGCTGGGCATCTCTGTATAAAAATAAAACCAAGTGGAGAGGTGATATTGACTGCATAATGACCTTCTTTCTGCTTATCCAGTCATTACTAGAGTGAGGACAGTGTCCCAGTGAGACACTGGAAGACTGGTGAAAGTACTATAAGGAGAGTCTTCATTTCAGCCCCTACAGTTGCTATTCACTTCTTTGACACTGAATTTAGCTAAAACATCTGTATGAGGGGGAAGCAGAGGGCCGGTCTAGGGGCCAGCTCTCCCCTGGAGGCTGAAGCAGTGGTGATTGATATGGCAGCTGCTTGAGATCATGGCAAGGAGAGGGGCGTATTAGTGGTAATCTCATGGCAGTCACTGAAAATTGGCTTACATTGCCATTGCTTAATGTCATTTTTTTCCATAGCTCTAATGGGAACACAGTGCCTCACAACAGATTTTCAGTTCCAGAGAATGACAGTAGAAGGAGCTGCTGGGGGAAAGCATAAGAGGGGACAAAAGCATCGAGTTACAAAAGATGAAGATAACAGAAATAGGGTTAAAAATGTCAAAAGACCACGGCTGTCTTATTTTGTTTTAATGATAGAAAACTGGATGATAGGCCAGGATCCAATAATAGCAAATACATTCATCAGTCTCTCAGTTAATAAATATTTGTTAAGTGCCTGCTGTGTGCCAAGCATCATACTGAATGCTGGGATACAAGAGAGGCAAAAGCCCATCCTTTCCCTCATAGAGCTCACAATCTAATGGAGAAAGACACACAAAGAAGTTGAGAAGCTGGGGCGCGGGGAGAGGGAGGAGAAAAGAGGGAGGAGAGGGAGGGTATCTGGCAGTGGGGCATGATGAAGTCCCGCAGCCAGTGGGGAAATGATGAGGTAGTTACCATGGGCCCCCACCTTAAATAGAAGATCTGGGAGGAGCTCTTCAATATCCTCCCTCCACCTTTTTCCATACTAGGTGCAATGCACTGTGTGGTATCTAATAGCTTTGCTATGTGTATAAGAGTTTTAAGAGGGAAAATGTTAAATCTGATGTACTTATTTTTTATCTTGTTAGATCACTGTTAGTACTGATGATATTGATCTGGCTGGGGATATCATCCAGTCTATGGCTTCCTTTTTTGCCATTGAAGATCTTCAGGTCGAAGCTGATTTCCCCGTCTACTTTGAGGAGTTACGGAAAATACTAGTTAAGGTATGGACACACAATGACTGAATTTGTGAGGATTATTTAGCTTGTCATTTGGAATGTGTCAGCTATGAGATATTCACATACATAAACCTTGCTGAATGGGAAAAGGGGAAAGAGGCATTTGCCTCTTTAGTGGGCTAAGTGGGTTTCAGAGTTATTTGGGCTTTGTGGAGTGTGTGAGACTTTCAGTAATCCACGAGTGTTCTTTTTGTCAGGTGGATGAATATCACTCTGTACACCAGAAACTTAGTGCTGATATGGCAGATCATTCCAACTTGATACGTAGCTTGTTGGTGCGGGCTGAGGATGCACGTCTTATGAGAGACATGTGAGTGGTCACTATGTCGAAGACTGTTAGCTTTTTAGAAAATGTGTGCAATCATTGTTTCCAGCTACAATGCTTTATCTGTCTTTTCACATGAAGGTTTTATCAATAAAATATTTACCTGGTGATTATTTAGGTGAGCTTTAGAGAGTTAAAATTATTAGGTGGCCACTTGTACTATTCCTAAAAGATTCCAGCTGCAAAAAGTTGGAGCAAACACCTTTAATTATCTACCATTTTCCCCCCCTAATTTTCTATTCAGCTCTGGTCTTCTCATCAAGAATGCTTGAAAATCCTCTATTTAATTGAATGTCAATTTTTTTCCCTGAACGATTATACTCAGTTTTGCTGGGTAGTTGATTCTTGGTTTAATCCTAGCTCCTTTGACCTCTGGAATATCGTATTCCAAGCCCTCTTGTGTTATCCTGATTATATTTCCACAATAATTGAATTGTTTCTTTCTGGCTGCTTGCAATATTTTCTCCTTGACCTGGGAACTCTGGACTTTGGCTACAATGTTCCTAGGAATTTTCCTTTGGAAGATCTCTTTCAGGAAGTCATCGGTGGATTCTTTCAATTTCTATTTTACCCTCTGGTTCTAGAATATCAGGGCAGTTTTCTTTGATAATTTCTTGAAAGATGATGTCTAGGTTCTTTTTTTGTTCATGGCTTTCAGGTAGTCCAATAATTTTAAAATTCTCTGTCCTGGATCTATTTTCCAGGTCAGTTGTTTTTTCAGTGAGATATTTCACATTGTCTTTTATTTTTTCATTCTTTTGGTTTTGTTTTATAATTTCTGGATTTCTCACAGAGTCATTAGCTTCCATTTGTTCCATTCTAATTTTTAAGGAATTATCTTCTTCAGTGAGCTTTTAGACTTCCTTTTCCATTTGTCCAGTTCTGCTTTTTTAAGGCATTCTTCTCCTCATTGGCTTTTTGGACCTCTTTTGCCATTTGGGTTAGTCTATTTTTTAAGGTATTATTTTCTTCAGTATTTTTTTGGGTCTCCTTTAGCAAGCTGTTGACTTGTTTTTCATGATTTTCTTGCATCACTCCCATTTCTTTTCCCAATTTTTCCTCTACTCCTCTTACTTGGTTTTCAGAATCTTTTTTGAGCTCTTCCATGGCCTGAAAAACCAGTTTATATTTTTCTTGGAGGCTTTGGATGTAAGAGCTTTGACTTTGTTGTCTTCTTCCGGTTGTATGTTTTGATCTTCTTTGTCCAAAGTAAAATTCTGTAGTTTGAGTTTTTTTCCTTTATTTGCTCATGTTCCCAGACAGTTACTTGACTTTTTAACTCTTTGTTCAGGTAGGGCTCTGCTTCCAGTGTGGAGAATATACTGTTCCAAGTTTCAGGGGTTTTGTGCAGCTGTTTTCATGGATACTTCTAGGGACCTGTAAATTTTCATTTCTTTCAAGGTGGTATGATCAAAGGTGAGGTGTTTACTCCTTTCCTGGCCTGTGCTGTTGTCTATGAATGACCACAAGCACTCTTTTCTGCCTTGGAACTTTGAGGAGGATTCTCTCTGTACCGCTGCCACAAGCTGCACCTCGCCTTAGAACTGCCACCCAGAACTGCAACCCAGATCCAAGCACAGGCACTGCCTCAGTTCCAGCAAAGAGATCCTTCTGATCAGCCATTTGGTCCCCCCACCATCTGTGGGCTGAGAGCTCCAGAAGCAGCTGCTGCCCCATTGTCAAGGCTGGGGCTGGACAGTGCTCCTCTCTCAATCAGGTCTGAAAGACCTTTCATACCAGCCTTCTAAGTTGTCTTTGGCATTTATGGGTTGAGAAGTCTGGAAACTGCCACAGCTGCCAGTGATTTAGTCCCCTGAGGTCTGCTTCAGGTTCACTGGGGCCCCATGTTTGCCTGTGTGACCCATGCTGAACTAACTGTGCTTCTACCCCAGCCCAGTAAAATAGACCTTTCCCATCAACCATCTAGGTTGTCTTGGGCTGGAAATTTGTTTCACTATGTCTCTGTGAGTATTTCTGCTCTAGGATTTGTTTAGAATCATTTTTTTACAGATATTTGGATTTGTTTTGGATGTCACCCTTTATGTGTAAGTTATGCAGCCATTTGGAGTATACTTTGGTTTATAGTGTAAGATGTAGTTCTATACCTAGTTTCTGGCAGTTTGTTTTCCAGTTTCTCCAACATTTGCCAAATAGTGAGTTTTTTACCCCAAATATCTGGGATCTTTCATTTTATGAAATAGAAGACTACTGAGCTTGTTTGCTTTTGTATGTTGTGTACCTGATCTGTTCCTCTGAGAGACGTTTCTTACTAAAGGCCTTTTCTCAACCTTGATCATACTTGGCCCTCTTTGCAACACTTGCTGTCAGTCATTTTCTCTCTACCCTCGTTTTTGGATTTTCATGACATATTTCTCTCCAAGTTCTCCTGAGTGACTATAGTTTCTGAATGTCCTTTGCAGGTTTTTCATCCATGCCACACCCTCCAACCAAGGTATCCCCTTAGGCTATGTCTTGGGTCCCCCATTTCTTTTTACTCTGTATTATCTCACTTGAACTCATAGGATCTCCTGAATTCAGTTATCATTTCAGTGCAAATGGTTCCCTATTTCTCTCAAACCATATATACGTACACCTGTGTATATATGTGTATATGTATTTGTATATCTAGCCCTAGTCTCTCTCCCAAGCTCCAGTCCTACATCACCAACTGCTTTTTGGACATGTAACAGTGGATGTCCCCCATTTATCTCAAAGTCAACATGTCCAAAACAGAACTCAGTATATTTTCTCCAAAACTTTCCCCTCTTCTACACTTCTGTGTTTTCACTTTTTTGGGGGGTGGCATTGCTGAAGTACAGAAGTGCCATTCTATTCTTAAATGAGGACAAGAACTAACAAAGGACATATTACCTCTTTTCCATGATCTTAAGAGTGTAAATTTTCTTTGAAATAATTTTGTAAATAACTTCTAAATGTTTTCAGAGCTTTAGGATTGCTGGTCACCAAATGCAGTGGACCCATTTTAATGAAACTATTGCGAAGATTAGTGTGTTTTTTTACCTTCAAATTTCTATTTTGGCTCCCCACTCCCAAGTCTGCCATATTGAAGATGAATTGATAGTAATCCTTCCATTGATTCACACAGGAAAACAATGAAGAAACGATATGTGGAACTTTATGACCTTAACAAGGACTTGCTAAATGGTTATAAAATTCGCTGTAATAACCACACAGAGCTTTTAAGTAACCTAAAAGCAGTAAACCAAGCTATACAAAGAGCTGGTCGTCTTAGAGGTAAGTCTGAGTCACTCTTCCAGGGGTCAGCTATCTGCTGGCATCAGACAAATTTTTGTAAAGCTTATCTCCCAAACATTTCTTCAGTTCATGTTGTATATTCCAAAGAAACAACTAGAAAAAACTGTAATCAACTTTTCTTTTCTAAGTCAGTGCTTTTGACTTAAAAAAACCAAAACCAAAAAACCAACAAAAACCTGTCTTCCTGGTTCAGCCCTACCACACTGAAGGACATTATATGTGTTACATGTGAGTCAAAAGTTAAGTGATGACAACGTACCTTAGGGAAGAAATACCTTTATTAACTATTGGATTGTTTGAAGTTCTCAAGTAAAACTGCTACTTGTTTTGAGAAGCAGCATGTATGTTGTAGTAGAAGGAAAAATGAATTTGAATCCCAGGCCAGACACTTCTGCAGACATACTCGCTGACATGTGGCTTTACGCTTTCAGCAGTGGGGGATATTTGTGCCATATTTGTTTATTTTTAGGGATAATATTTTTACCAACCTTAAAAGTTCTTATGAGAAAATGCCTTGAAAACATTGAAATATTATAAAATTGATATTATTGTTGTTCTATAACAAATACCCCTAACGACATCTCTTTGCCAGTGTAAAAATAAGGGAGGAGGGCTCAGACTAGATTACCTCTTAGGTCCTTTCTGGTTTTAAGTCCTAGGATAATTATTAGTTTTACATTCGCACAGTCTTTATTAGGTACTTTGGCATAGGGAAAGGAGCACTGGACTTGGAATAAGAAGACTTAGGTCTAGTCTAGCACTGCCATTAACTCCCTGTGACGTTGTGTAAATCACTTCATGTCTTTGGACCTCAATTTCCTAACCTATAAAAGAAGGCTGGACTATATGTCTCTGAGGAAGGCCTTTTCAGGTGCTAAGTCATATGAAACTTACCAGTTTTGCCTTTGTCTTAAAATAAGATCTTATGGTTTAAAGGCTCATGTTCTTTCTTAAATAACATTAACTTCTTTTGTCTTGTTGCAGTTGGAAAACCAAAGAACCAGGTGGTTAATGCTTGTAGGGATGCTATTCGGAGTAACAATCTCAACATGCTATTCAGGATAATGCGTGTGGGTACAGCTTCATCATAGGAGAGATCAGAGGCAGTGAAATGTTATTGGTCATTGGGAGTATTGGAGCTTTTTCCTTTAGGCCCTTTCAAATTCACCTAAAGGACTGAACATTTAAAGAGACCTTGACATGCCATGATTGTGAAAGGCAAGATGGTTTTGTGCCCAGGTTTCACTTGTAAAGCACCATGACTGAAAAATGTTTGCATTCCTTACTTTTAAATGATCAACCTTCTTTTTGAAAAATACAAGACTGGTACGTAGGGGAGTGAAAACCTGTAGGAATTAGTGTTTTAAAGTGAAATTGTTGCTTAATTATAGAGAACTTTTTCTTCTTGAAATTGTATCCCAAATTGTATTCCAAAATTCTATCCCAAAAAACGTTTATAGTTACATCTAATTTTCATTAAAACTTAAAAGCATTTGACCTTTGTGTGTTTTGGTTACTTATAAAATGTTAGTGTTTTTATTTCTAAGACATAACATGCATTTGCTTCCATTATAATTATTAAAATTGTGTTTTGTTTGGGGAACTCCCAGGTAAGGTTACCAAAGCAGATGAACAACTTTTCTGCAATTGAGATTCTTAGAGAGTTATTTGGGGGCATTCAGAGGCTAAGTGACTTGTCCAGGGTCATACAACCAGAATATATCAGAAGTGAGACTTGAACTCATATTTTTCTTTCTGTAGGAGAGAGAAAGCTCTGTGAAAATTAATCTTGATTTTGTATTTTATAATTGATTTCACTCTGTAACTGATACTATATAGTAAACTTATTCTATTCTATTCTATATTTTATAATAACTTCAGCCTTTTTTCTGTCTCTGAATATAGAAGCTCATGAGTACAAAAGTTTAGTTTCCCTCTCTCAAGTTAGATGCAAAGGTTTAAGTTTTCCCACAACCACTGTTAAAGGAAAACTTTGAGCTGCTTAGAGATGCAGTGCCCTCATAAAACATTTTAACTCTTAGGGAATTGTTACCTTAGCACAACCTGCAAATCACTTCATGCCAAGGAAACTTGGTATCCCTTGTAACTTCAGCTCCTGAGAAACTCCATGACATCTGTGTGCTTTCCTTGAGGACAGAGAGGTGTGGCTCTAATCCCATATGCATCCTTGATATAACCAATCATGATCCTTCACCCCCATGACCTTCCCAACCCCATAAACAATGGCATGATTTCCTCACCTACCCTGTTTCTGTCCTTTGTTCTATGCTTATAAAAAGGAATTTCATCTCCAGTCCTTTGTCTTTGGCTAGAAACTGAGGCAAGCTATTGACTCCTTTATTAATAGGTTTGATATCCTATGAATAAACTGTTACCTTGCTCGGAGACAATGTGCTTTGGTCTACCTTTACTGACTTTCACTTGTGACAGCTCTCTTCACTACTCTAAGCTGCCTTTCAGCCCCCTTACCACCATGTCAGTATTAATCATTATTACTGCTTTCTGTCAGCTATTTTGTTTCCTGGAGAAAAATTATATGTACTGGGATTGTACATCTTTTTATGTGAAACCTGGTTTTAAGTGTACAATTATGTGGTGTGTCATATGTCAGTAAACTTCTGTGAAGCAGGCTAGAGATCATTTGCCTCATTAAACACTCATTTAGGGCATTCACAAATTGTTCTGATAATTAGATTGAACAAGTTTAACTTTGAAATTGTACCAAATGGAGGACCTTTGTCACTTTCCTTAGCGTATTTCCCCTTATCTCCCTAGCTCATTCATAAGCAGTTTTGAGGGGAGTCAGTTTGCCCCTCACATCAACCTAAATGATTGCAGTTTTTTGTATCATCCATATTGTACTACTCTAGTTCTGAAGCATGAACTTTTGGAATAAGGTCCTTTTTTTGAGTATACTTATTACAATTCTTTGCATTTATATTGCATACTTCCATTTATAGGTTGAAATCACTGTCACCATTACTGTATTTTCCTCCTCTCTTAAGTAGACAGCTATTATTATACCTATTTTACCGATGGAGAAAGAGGCATGGAAAGATTAATTGATTTGCCTGAGGTTAGAGTTAGTAACAAAACTAGGTCTGCTAATGTCCAGCCTTCTTTCTGTTTGACCTCGACCTATCTTTAGTTATAGCTAGTTTTGAGAGAATCTGGATCTGAAGCTTGATCCTGCTGCTTACTTTTTTTTTTCTAAAGTACCCTGTTTCTGTTGAGGGCACCACCATCCTTACAGTAATCAGGATGTGAATCTTTGTCTCATCCTTAACTCACTGTAGCTCACTCTCAAGTATCCAATTAGTTGCCCAAATCTTGTTTTCTACCTCCAGAACTTGTCTCACATTGGTCAGTCAATAAACATGTATTAAGCATCTACTACATGCTAGGCACTATGCTAAGTGCTGGTGATAAAAAGGTAAAAGACAGTGCCTACCCTTAAAGAGCCCACAGTCTAATGTGGGAGACAACAAGCAAATAATTATGTACAAACAAGTTACATAGTAGAAATTGCAAATAGCCAACAGAGGGAAGGCAGCAGAATCTTTCTGCAAATGATGGATATTAGTTGAGACTTGAAGGAAGCCAGGAGGCAGAGGTGAGGAAGGGGAACATTTGAGGTATTGGAGGAGCGGGGTGGGTGAGGAAAGGCAGTAAAAATGCCTAGAGTTGGCAGATAGTGTCTTGTTCAAGGAACAGGCACGAAGGCCAGAGTCAGTGGATTGAAGAAAATGTGATGGGAGTGGTGGTAAAGGTTATTTTTTTATCCTAGAGGTGATAGAGAGCCAATGGAGTTTATTCTGTAGGGGAAGTGACATGTTCCTATCTGCACCTATAGAAAGATCACTTTGACAGCTAGTTGCAACATGAAGTGGAGCAGGAAGAAACTTTTGGCAGGCAGGCCAACCAGGAGGTTACTGCCATAGTCCATGGTTCATGATAATGCTGGCTGATGAGGGCCTGGACTAGTATGGTGGCAGTGTAACATAAAAGAAGAGGGAGTTATAGAGGTAAAATCTACAGGCCGTGGCTACAGATTAGATATGGGGGGGGAGGGGGAGTATAAGTTGAGAATGACACCAAAATTGTAAGCTTGCAGGACTGGGAGGAAAGTGTTACCTTTGATAGTTAAAGGGAAGAGTTTTGGGGGAAGAGTTCAGTTTTGGACATGTTGAATTTAAGATGTCTATAGGACATCTAGTTCCACACGTCTACTAGGCAGCTAGAAATATGACAAGTAGCATTGAAAATCATCAGCATAGATAATTGAATCCATGGGAGCTAATAAGATCACCAAGTGGATAGTATAGAGGGAGAAGGCCCAGGGCAGTGCCCCGTGGTTAGGCTCCTCATTTTCATCCCTGTGACCACCACACTAGTTCAGGCCCTTATCACCTCTTGCCTCTTAGATAATTACTACAGCCTAAATGTTCTTGACTGTCTCTATTTAACTCCATTGTATCTCCACACTGCTACCAAAGTGGTTTTCCTAAAGTACAAATCTGACCCATAACATTAATTCTATTCAGTAAATTTCAGTGGTTCCCAATTACCTCTAAGACCAAACACAAACCTGGTTTGATGTTTAAAGTCCTTCCCAACCTGGCCCCAACCTACCCTTCCAGACTCTTCATACATAACACCCTTTCATGCATTCTAGATCGCACCCAAACTGGTCCTGTTGTCCATCATACATAGCACTTGGATCTCCCATGTCTGTGTTTCTGCATCATAATTCTTCTGGACCTCAGTTTTCTCATCTATAAAATGGCTGGATGAAATAACTTCTAAGGCCCTTTCTAGGAATATATCTATCATCCTGTTTTTCTAAATTTAGTCATTTACCTGAAACATGTTTGTGGGCAGAGCTTTGAGGGGTAGGATGCTATCCCATCGCTTTTCTGAAGCCACATTAGCATTCTGAACCAGTTAGGCACAGCTTTATCTTGTTAAGGTGCTCCTTTATAAATGTGGCTTTTCCCTAAATGTTCATGCTGAGGTTTCCACTACTTATAACAGGCTACTAGTCTGATTTTTGGTCATTTAAAGTGAATAAGCTTTTTTTTGGGGGGGAGAGGATAAAATATACTAAATAATTTAAAGAGAATAAAACTATAGGATCTTCTGAATTCTTTCTGTCTCCAAGGAAAGTGACTAGCATACTTCAGCAATCTTTTCCAGTAACTCTCATGGCCGCTGGAGTTCTAATGGTGCCAAGTGTGCTTCAGTTCCACAAGTCAGGTCTAGATACATTGGCTTATAGATACGATCCCACAAAAATATTATACTATTTCACAAAAGGTAGCAACTCACCCAGAGCTATCAAGCTCCAATCAACAGGAAAGCATTTTTAATACAGGGGGAGACAATGCAGCAAAATATACTAGTCTTGTAAACTTATTTGGTACCATGATGCAATGATTACTTAAATATAGTTAAAATGTAAATTCAGAAATTGAAGCAGTAAATGACTTTTAACTCAAAGATAAAAAAGGTGCAATAAAGTTTGGACCCTCACATTCATGTTGCAGAGTATGGCTTGCTGTTTTAGCAAATTACATGTTTTCAACCATCCTAACACCACTCATACCTCAGCTGCTTCAGAAATCAAAGAACAAGAAACTATATACTACTATCATATAACCCACAGAAATATTTATGTGATTTTCAACATCTTTATTAATGTTCCAAATTTTTAAAAGTAGCAATTATAAATCTGACAATTTAGAGTCCTGTTATCACAGCAGTTAATTATCTCTAATTTTGTTCTTAAATTAAGGCACAAGACGACAGCCTGGTATTTTGCATTTTCCCATCTGGACCCTGCCCACACTACTCTTGCCTCTAAGCTCTTGATTTACAGTGACTCATTTCATTCTTTGTGCAGTGTAGGGCTCTGCTTATTCTGAAAAGATACCATACAATTTTTAAGTTGTTTGCAATATGGTTTAAGATGTCTGTATGAACTTGTCATCAAAGTGAAGAAGGCAGCTATTATGAGAATGTGCAGTTTCAAACAGGTTGGCGAAGTTTCTTTGGAATTACTTTGCCATTTGCAACATCATCTTCCTCATATGTGTTTTGCAGCATTTATTTCACACTTTCCCACTACTACAATGAATTTAACTTTTATTTCAGAAGGGAACACTGGTACGGGAGAGATGTGTCTTTCATTTTCTTAATGATTTGGACAAAATTAAAACCTCTTCAACTGA